CACTGCACTTTAGAGAAGAGTTAAAGCTGCGGAAAGCTCCACAAAATGCCTTTTGGGGCTGGTACTGGGCCGGATATGTACGTCACTGTGGTCACAGTGTTGGGGCTCAACAAGATTTCTCAGGAACATGGAGCTAATTGTTGGAAGCAGCAGCTCAGGGCTTCCAGGGCCCGGCCTCTGGCAGTAGGACCCCGGGTGACCGGGAGGCAGCAGAAGCCTCTTGCATTTCATTTTAGCCATTGTGTACTGTTACCATTTTTTTAATTTTTTTATTGATTTCAGGAAGGAAGGGAGAGGGAGAGAGAGATAGAAGCATCAATGATGAGAGAGAATCATGGAGCGGCTGCCTCCTGCGCACCCTACACTGGGGGTCGAACCCACAACCCGGGCATGTGCGCTTGACCGGAATCGAACCCGGGACCCTTCAGTCTGCAGGCTGATGCTCTATCCACTGAGCCACACCGGCTAGGGTCTGTTGCCATTTTTTGACAAAACGATATGCAAGTATCACTTTGATAAACGTTCAAAAACTATTATTAGCAAATACAAACATTCCGAAAGCTACTCACTGTTGTCATTAGCATTTAGAACAATTGTCTGGAAAGCAGTAAGTGGCAGTTCTTTTGTGTGACAGTGGGTGGTGTCCCCGAAGCAAGCTTCGGGGGGAATGTGTCCTAGGATCTCAAAAGTGGAAAGTGCCTTAAACTCACACATCGGGGGTCCTGCGGAGTGTCCCATCGTTGTGAAGTCGTGTTACCCGTTAACTGTACGATCACAAAACTCACTCAGGGAGAAGCCGGGAGTTAACTCAGAGCCCTCGCCCAGGCCCAGGCAGCCGAGAACAGAGTCGAGCCTGTCCCTGAAGTCGGAGAGCGCCAGCCAGGCAGCAAAGCTAGCAGCCGAGGTGGGTGTCACGCGGTTCTCACACAGCCCCGGTGGCTGCTCTGCCAGTTCCAGTTCACTCCGTTTAGACGGTGTGGCAGGCGGAACTGCATCCTGACTTTGGATGTTGGCTGTGGCTTTTTAGTTTTGTAGAAAACAGCTTCATTGAGCCGTTTATTGAGCTTTATTGAGGTGTAACTGACATTCCTATAATTGACAGACCGTCAACCGCACATAGTATTTGGGATATGCAGTTGAATATGCTTTTGACATAGGTGTATACCCCTGAAGCCATCACCACAAGAAAAACTTCCCTTTCTAAGTCCCTCCCTCTCCCCACCCCTCCCCATCCCCAGGCCGCAACTGACCTGCTTTCCACCGCTATATAGATTGGTTTGCATTTTTGTTTTGTTGTGTGGTTATTAATCCTCACCCGAGGATATTTTTCCATTGAATTTTTAGAGAGAATGGAAGGGAGGGGGAGAGATAGAGAGAAACTTCAATGTGAGAGAGAGACATCAACTGGTTGCCTCCCTCGTGCATCCCGATCAGGGCTGGGAATAGAACCTGCAACCGAGGTACCTGCCCTTGACTGGAATCGAACCCGGCACCCTTCAATCTGAGGGCCAGATGCTCTATCTATTGAGCCAAACTGGCTAGTTTGCATTTTTAAGAGATTTATATGAATGGAATCCTATCACATAGGCCCTTTTTTTTGGTCTGTCTCCTTCCACATAATTATACATAATTATGTTTGAGTTATAGCCACGTAGCACATTATCAATAGTTCATTCCTTTTTTTTATCGCTGAGCAGTATTCCGTTGTAGGAAGATTTTATTTGTTTGTTTGCTCATTGGGTTGCTTCCAGCATTTAGCTATTACAAATAAACATTGTGAATATTTGTGAACGAGTCTTTGCAATACACATCTTTCCTCTTGAGTGAATACCCAGGAATATACTGGCTAGATCATGTGGTACGTGCATATTTAACTTACTCTTTTCTAAAATAGTTGTGCTATTTTTCATTCCCAAGAGCACTTGGCATGGTCGGTCCCTTCATTCTAACTAATAGGTATGTAGGTGTCTCATTGTGGTTTTCGTTTGCATTTACCTCGTGACCACCCACCTTTTCACGTATTTATTTGCCGCCCGTATGTATCTCCTTTGGTGAAGCGTCCGAATCTTTTGCCCGTTTTTTTCTCTCGGTCCGTCGTCTGAGAGCGCTTCAGAAATCCTGTGTCGCACTTCTCCAGATAAACGCTCTGCAGTGCTTCCTCCCAGTCTGTGGCTTGTGTGTTCGTTCTCTGCGTCTCTTTCTGAAGAGCAAAACGTTCTAATTTTGATGAAGTCCAGTTACCAGCTTTTCTCTTGTGCATTGTGCCTGTATTGTTATAGCTGTGAAACCACTGCCTGGCCCAAGTACAAACTCTGGGAATTTACTAAAAGTCATTGAACTGTAGGCCTAAAACGTGTGACTTTTATGGGATGTTAATTATATCTCAGGAAAGTGTGAAAAACAAAACAGGCAACACGCCCTTTTTCCTCCTGTGACTCCTTACCCTGGCAAACGGGGGGGCTCAGCCAGGGAAAGAAGGCCAGGACCTGGGGGAGAGAGACGCCTCCAGGAAACCGGACCAACGGGAAGTGATTGCAAGTTGGGGGAAGCAGCCGGGTTCTTGTCACGCCGACGGGTGGGTGGCTGGGTGGGTGGCGTTCTTGTCTCTGCCTGGCTCAGACTTCCCAGCATCCTCCTCCTGCAGGGGACTCAGTGAGCCAGCCGGCTTCTTCCCTGCACCTCTGAGCAAACCTGGAGGCCGCTGGGAAGGAGGAGGAGCCTGGGAACCAGAACGTAGGTAGCATTTGTTGTTGTTGTTGTTGTTGTTAATCCTCACCCGAGGATACTTTCCCATTGATGTGTAGAGAGAGTGGAAGAGAGAGGGAAAGACAGAGAGACATCGATGTGAGAGACACACATCGATTGGTTGCCTCCTGCCTGAGCCCTGCCCAAGGCCCGGGCCGGGAAGGAGCCTGCAGCCAAGGTACGTGCCCTTGAGCGGAATCGAACCCAGGACCCTTTGGTCCGCAGGCCAGTGCCGTTTAGATCGCATGTTTACGGTACTGCATAGGAGGGATATGGGGTGTGGGGCATGAGTTTCATTTTGTTACGTTTGGGCTTACAGTGCTAAAAGCTCTGGAATTTCTTTTTCTTTTCATTTTTTTAAGTTGTGGTACAAGCAGTTAACATGAGATGCAGCCACCCTTTCAACAAAATGTGAAGGGCACAAAACTGTGTTGTGCACACACCCAATGCCTCCTCGATGGACAGGCTGGCCCCCGGGCCTCTCTGAAGACTGCCAGCCGTCTGGGTCCGGTCAGGAGAGAGAAACCTCACAGTGGGTCCAGCAGGGGCAGTTCAACGGGAAGAATTACTAAGATACCAGGAAGCCGGACGTGGTCCCCCAGGGCTGAGGGCCAGGAGGGCGCTCAGGGGAGGACAGACTCGCCGAGGCTCAGACCTCCCTGGAGCAAGACGGCCAGCCCACCGGATAGAGGGCAGGCGCCACCCTCTGGAATGCAGGTGGCAATCCGGCCCTCAGCAGCTGGTGTGTGGGCATCAGAGGAGGGGGCACCCCCGGGGCGACAGGACGGCACGCGGGGCACCTGCAGAGGGAATCCGGGGGCCAGCAGGGGCAGGAGGCACTGGTTTCTCTGTCCAGAGGGTCCCAGAAAGGCCATCACCAGGCCAAGGCTGCAGGGGGTGGGGACGGAGGGATCTGGGCTCAGACTGAGCTCCACCAGGTGTCCTCACACCCCATCCGACCATGGTCCCCTCATGCCAGCCAGAGGAGCGCCCCTTCCTCTTGCGATGGCCCTCCACTGTGACGGCTTCGCCTGGGGCGCAGCTTCAGGCACAGACACTTAAAGGAGCCCGTCACTCACCCCGCAGCATGTGCGGGTACGGAGGGCACAGTACCTAGATCCTAGCCTCACCGTCTTTAATAAGGAGAGGTGGCGGGAGGGGTGGGCCCCCGTTCCCGCGTGTGAGGAGCGCGTTCCCCGGCCTGGGCCCTGCACAGCGAGGAGACGCCGTGTCTGCAGGCTGAGCGGTGGCGGATGCCCGGACAGGGTCTCTCGAGTCCCTGGGCTCGCACTAGTCTTTACTGTGACATCTTTTTCCATCGCAGGGCAACCCGAGACCGAGACCTGGGGACCTGATCGAGATTTTCCGGATCGGCTATGAGCACTGGGCCATCTACGTGGAGGACGACCGCGTGGTGCACCTGGCGCCCCCGAGTAAGAGTGGATACGCGGCCAAGCTAGTGGCGTCGAGGCGCCAAGGGAAGCAGGCCCCGTCCATTCCCGCTTCCTCGGCGCGGCCCACTTAGCAGTAAAACACCCAACGCACGACTAGACCGAGCCCCGGCCGGTGTGGCTCAGTGGAGAGAGTGTTGGCTTGCAGACTGAAGGGTCCCGGGTTCTATTCCGGTCAAGGGCACGTACCTTGTTGCAGGCTCGATCCCCCACCCTGGTCAGGGCGCATGCAGGAGGCAGCCGATCGATGTGTGTCTCTCACATCAATGTTTCTCTCTCTCTGTCTCTCCCCCTCCCTTCCACTCTCTCTAAAAATCAATGGAAAAATATCTTCAGGAGAGGGTTAACAGAGAGAGAGACAGAGAGAGAGACAGAGAGAGAGAGAGAGACAGAGAGAGAGACGACCTAACTGTACGGTGGGACAGAGCTTGGTCTCTGTCTACCAGACACACAGTGTGTCCAGCCCTAAAGCAGAAGCGAGTGAGAGCGTCCCAGGTTCCCTTTCGTTTCCATGGTGTTTAGGAACGTGAGCCTCCGACCCGCCCGTGTTGACAGCAGTTCCACATTCTCCCCTGTTCCTGAGGCCCCGATTGCCACTTGCTTCCTGTGGTCCCCAGTGCTGCTCCCGGCTTCCCCGGGCGCTGGGAGGAACGGAGGGAGGGCCGCGGCCAGTCCTGGTCCTTCAATGCCTTTGGGATGTGTGCCCTGTGCCCACACGGCCCATTCGAGGCTAAATGACAGCGGGTCCTGGCGCCCGAGGCCCGGGGCCTTGTTCACGGCTCTCACCCCGGCCTGTGTCCTGTCGCCTCACTGCCCACCCCATCCCCTTGCTGAGAGCTTCCCACAGAGCAGCCCCTCTCCCAGTCCCCCTGCAGCCCCACCCGCCCACACCCCCACTTCGGTTTGGGACCCCACACGGAGGGCAGAGGGAAGAAGGTGACAGGGCTTCACGCTGCATACCCCCCACCCCCACCCATCTCTCCTTCCCAGGAGCCTCCCTCTGTACAGCCCCGTCCCGCCCTCCCGTCAGATCTGTCTCTAAACATGACTTCCGCCTCCCTGTCCCCGGAGGCTGAATTGCCTCCTGCCAGCTTTGGTGAAATAGGCAGCTCTTCCAATACGTAAGGAAGAGCCAGGGCCCTCCCGACGGCTTAGGGGGGGGGGGGCAGGGGGAGGGACACGTTTGCAGAAAAACAGCCCTGGTGTTAAACGGCCACCCACATGGGCAGCTTCCTGACCCTCCCTGAGCCTCCGTGCCCCCTGAGGGCTGAACATGGTAACTTATCAGCTTCCCCCACACATTAGCCCAGGGGTCCTCAAACTACGGCCTGCAGGCCACATGCAAATACAAATATTGTATTTGTTCCTGTTTTGTTTTTTTACTTCAAAATAAGATATGTGCAATGTGCATAGGAATTTGTTCATAGTTTTTTTTTAAACTATAGTTCGGCACTCCAACGGTCTGAGGGACAGTGAGCTGGCCCCCTGTTTAAAAAGTTTGAGGACCCCTGCTAGCCCCTTACCCAGGAGCCGACGCCTACACGGCAGGGCGCCCGGCATGTGTGTGACAGCTCCTGAAGTCTGGTTGGTAGGACACAGAGTGCAGCCGGGGCCACACCATCGGCCACTGTGAGAGTTTTATGAGAGAGGCTATGGATGGAAAGTGGGGGTGCAGGGCAAGACCCAGGCTTCCTGGGGAAGCTGGCCCTTTAGCTCATCTACTCCAGCTCCCCCTCCTCTGCACGCCTCCGACAGATGGGGAAACTGAGGCCCAGAGGACAGCAGCTTGCCGGGCATGGGATTGCGTGCCGGGCTCTGCCCCGCTGTCCCTGGCGGCTCTCCAGCCTCTGTTTGCCTCTGGCCTCAGGAGAGGAATTCGTGGCCGGCAGCATCACCTCCATCTTCAGCAACCGGGCCGTGGTCAAGTGCAGCCGGCTGGAGGACGTGCTGCACGGCTGCTCCTGGAAGGTCAACAACAAGCTGGACGGGACGTACCTGCCCCTGCCCGTGGACAAGATCCTCCAGCGCACGCGGAACATGGTCAACAAGATAGTGCAGTACAGCCTGATCGACGGGAACTGCGAGCACTTCGTCAACGACCTCAGATACGGCGTGCCCAGGAGCCAGCAGGTAGGCGTGCCCAGGAGCCAGCAGGTAGGGATGCCCAGGAGCCAGCAGGTAGGGGTGCCTAGGAGCCAGCAGGTGTGTGTGCCCAGGAGCCAGCAGGTAGGGATGCCCAGGAGCCAGCAGGTAGGGGTGCCTAGGAGCCAGCAGGTGTGTGTGCCCAGGAGCCAGCAGGTAGGGAGGCCCAGGAGCGAGCAGGTGTGTGTGCCCAGGAGTGAG